TTTGTTCTATGCTTTGATTACCATTAATGTAGAACATTTTACTAACATTGTGTGTCTTCTGTTTTAGAGTTAAGCTTGATGTTGCTAACAAAGTGTAGGAGCCAACTAAATGTTATCTCTCATTCATCCATTTCCTATGTTGCACCTATTTGAGAAATGGATTGAGAGTATCAAAAGGGATGTCCCATTCTGAGGAGAAAAATTGAAGTCTTTTGGGGACTAAAAGATTTATTAAATGGGTGAAAAGAATGATTATTGGAGATGTTTCTGACGATACATTGGTTGATTAAGGAAGGAATTTTTGGTTCTTTTGGGAATGTCTTTGAAAGTAGACCACTGTAACACTGCAGAAAGAATTTTTAAAACTACTAGCTGCTTTTGACAGTTTCAGAAGATCTGAAGGAGGACTGTAAAGAGATTTTTTTCTACTTTAAAGTACTATACTCAATAAAATTTAAAGAGTGACTTGTTAAAATATGTGAAAGAATATAGATGAATTTCATTTCTTTTTTTTTTTTTTTAAGTTTATTTTTGAGAGAGAGCGCATGACTGGGGAAGGGGTAGAGAAAGGGAGAGAGAGGGAATCTCAAGCAGGCTCCCTGCTGTTAGCACAGGACCCAATGCAGAGTTTGAACTCAGGAACCTTGAGATCATGATCTGAGCTGAGACCAAGAGTTGGAGACTTAACTGACTGAGCCACCCAGGAACCCCCTTGAATTTCATTTCTTAATGAAGGTACATCCATAAGTGAAGTTGTCTCACATGCTGTATTGAGAACTTGAGTAGCATTGGCACTTTCAAGGGCTTAATCCAAGATCTGTTGTGGCTTTTACAAAATTTTATTGATAGCCCATATAATGCTAACTAAACTTCCTGTATGCCTTATATCAAATTGTATTTCTTAAATTATATCAAATCATATTCTTAAGTTATTAACTTGATGGTGGTGAGAATTCTTTTCCCTTTGTACATTTTACTATTTTTGGAAATATTTTCCCTTTCAAGACATAGATTGTGACAATAAAATCTTATACCCCAAATGTTTGGAAAGTGGAATCAGATATGAAAGTGTTGAATGGTCAGTAAAATACCAGGATTAAAGTATTTTTCCAGTACTTAAATATAGAATGGCATATCAGGTTGGGCATTTCTCATTTTACTGGTGTATATTCTCATTACTGTTAGGAAATGAACTACCTGATTAGTTGATCAATACATGCGTTCTTAATTTCCAGTGGAACAGATACCCTCTCTCTAAAACTCATGAATGATTATTGATATTATGACTTTTTTTTTTTTTTGTCACTGGTATATAATTTGTCTGGACATTGAGGCTGCATCAATTATATATAATAGAATAGAGTAGTTTGAAGGCATTATTTGTAATTAGATATCTGTTTTGTCTTTTAAAAAACTTAAAGAATTGGAAAGCACCCTGTTCTTATTATATAAAGTTAGATTGCTTCTAATATCATGTTTACATTTATATGATTATATTGATTTTTATTAGACTTCAATTGAGATGGAGGAGGCAGGTGACGTTTGATCCCGTCTTAAATATAGAAGAATTTCAGTAGGTACATTGCACGCTCTCTGCAAATAATTTTTTAAAAATGTTGCAATTTAGGACAACTATAACATCCATTCAGAGTATTGTTTACTCTGTAATAAATCAAAGATTGTTCTCTGGGTAGTAGAATTGAGCTGTCAGAGAATAAAGTCTAATTTTTTTGCCAGATTATTATTTTAATCCTGCTCATGATAGAAATGATGACTTAAGTTGTAGATATGTTTAAATTACATTAAGATAATTGAACTCATTAAACTCTTCATGAAATTCTTATGCATTTAAGAGTATTGCATATATTGTTAGGCAAGTCAATGGATGTGCAAACTAGAAATTCAAATAAAAAAAAACTTTTGGCATCTTGCTTCTTTGTAGACACTTAAGAGGTAAGAGAGATTTCTGATTACCATTCCAATATACTTTTAGATTTAGGTTTTTCAAGCTCAATAGAAACGTGTTTCCAGGGGCGCCTGGGTGGCGCAGTCGGTTAAGCGTCCGACTTCAGTCAGGTCACGATCTCGCGGTCCGTGAGTTCGAGCCCCGCATCGGGCTCTGGGCTGATGGCCCAGAGCCTGGAGCATGTTTCCGATTCTGTGTCTCCCTCTCTCTCTGCCCCTCCCCCGTTCATGCTCTGTCTCTCTCTGTCCCAAAAATAAATAAACGTTGGAAAAAAAAAAAAAAAAAAACGTGTTTCCAGATTATTTTGCATATAGTGAGTTTTGCTTCACTTTCTAAGCTTTATTGCCTTGTCAAACTTTCATAGGTTGATAGAAATGACGAAGCAAATAACTATCAACTGATCTATGTTTAAATGAAATTGAAGGAAAGAATTTCAGAATTCTACTTAAAACAGAATGTATGTAGGGGCGCCTGGGTGGCTCAGTCGGTTGAGCGTCCGACTTCGCTCAGGTCACGGTCTCACGGTCCGTGAGTTCGGGCCCCGCATCAGGCTCTGTGCTGACAGCTCAGAGCCTGGAGCCTGCTTCGGATTCTGTGTCTCCCTCTCTCTCTGGCCCTCCCCCTGTTCATGCTCTCTTTCTCTCTGTCTCAAAAATAAATAAATGTTAAAAAAAATTAAAAAAAAATGTATGTATATTTATTTAACATATGAATATTTTATTCTGAGGACAATGGAAAGCCTTTGGAGAGGTTTTGTTAAGTTTATTTATTTATTTATTTTTAGAAGGGGGAGGAGGTTGGGGGGCAGAGAGAGAATCCCAAGCAGGCTCCGCACTGGCAGCGTGGAACCCAAATTGGGGCTTGAACTCACAAACGCTTGCCATCATGACCTGAGTGAAAATCAAGACTGAGCCACCCAGGTGCCCCCAGAATGTTTATTTTAGCTGTTGGTCATATACTAAGTATTTATAAAGAAAATATTTATGTTAATGAAAATAACATGACTTGGAAAAGTATAAAATTAGTTAAAACTCAGGATCCTGGAGACAAAGTGGTTTTGAATTTCTCTATTGCTTACTAGGTGTATGATCTTAGGTGAGTTACTTCACTAATTTGTGCCTTAGTTTTTCTTATCAATAAAATTGAGATTATTTTAATATTGTATATGTCAGAGTTAGAGGATTGAATAAGGCAGTATATATATAATGCATAATATATTACTTGCTATATATGAGGCTCAATAAATGTTAAAAAATAAAATAAAAATTTTGAGTTTATTTTTGAAAGGGAGAGTGAGAGAGTGAGTACACACACGCATGTGAGCAAGGGGGAGGGGCAGAGAGCACAATCCAGTGGGGTTCTGGACTCAGGAACCTGAGCCAAAATCAAGAGTTGAAGTTTAACTGACTGAGCTACCTAGGTACCAGATGATCATGAATATTTGTAACTGATTTTATAATTGAAAGTAGAGTAAATTATTTGGGGGGCTCCTGGCTGGCTCAGGTGGAATAGCCTGTAACTCTTGATCTTGGGTTGTGTGTTTGAGCCCTACCTTGGGTATAGAGATTACTTAAGTGATTTTAATTAAAAAAAAAAAAAATTATTTGGGAGTGTCATTATTTTTATTAAAAAAAATGCAAGAGGGACACTTATGACACTAAGCTTTGTTTCCTATAGACATTTTTAAAGAAAAAATGAGAATTTTTTATTCCTTCTATTTTTATAATGCAGCAGTGTAAGTTCATATATAATAATTTAATTGGAAGTGCTTTTGTTTTTTTATCCATCTTTTCTATCGTATGTTTGCTGTAGTCTAAAGTTAATTTCTACGCTAGTTGCTTGACATAAACATAATTTAGTTTTTCTGTTTGTAGGTGGGAAGATTTTGTCTTTTGATCTCTTACATACTTTCTTCTGAATCAGTTCTCTGTATAGAGAACTATTTACCAAAGATATTAAAAAACTTAAGACTATCACCATGTGATTTTTTTCTGGTACTAGTATAGAATATGACAATGCTGTTATTTCCATGAGGATAACTTTTAAATAAAGATTAGTGTAAGCTTTTCAAATTAAAAAATGTAGACTTATATTTCTTAGTGGACATTTCATAGGTGTGTCAAATATGGTACCTTATTCAGACTTTCTCATTTTTTTTAATGTTTATTTTGTGAGAGAGAGAGAGAGCGAGCACGAGCAGGGGAGGGCAGAGAGAGAGGGAGACAGAATCCGAAGCAGGCTCCAGGCTGTGAGCTGTCAGCACCCAGCCCTGTGCGGGGCTTGAACTCGTGAACCACGAGATCATGACCTGAGCTGAAGTCAGGCACTTAACTGACTGAGCCACCCAGGTACCCCCAGACTATCTCATTTTTTATTTTTAACTTTATTTTAAAAGAGCTTTAGGGGCTCCTGGGTGGCTCAGTTGGTTAAACTTCAGACTTGATTTCAGCTTAGGTCATGATCTCGCATTTCGTGAGTTTGAGCCCTGCATCAGGCCGTGCACACTTTAGACTTACTAAAACGTTGTAAATTACTTCATAGAGTTCTCATATATTTCACCCACTTTTCCCTAATGGTCATATTTTATATAACCATAGAACAAATCAGAAATTAATATTAATACTAACCAGTCTGTAAACTTTATTTGAATTTTGACCATTGTCCACTCACTAAATGACCTTTTTCTGGTCCAGCATCTAATCTAGGATCTCATACTATTGTACTTAATTGTCATGTCTCCTTAGTCTCCTTCAATCTGAGATGCTTCTTCATTCTGTCTTTTTGCCTTTCTTGACTTTGACACTTTTTAAGAGTAGCTAGTTAGAATGTCCCTCAATTTGTGTGTCTGATGTTTTCTTGTGATCAGATTGGGATAATGCATTTTTGGCAAGAATACCACAGAAATGATAGTATGTCCTTATCAGTGCATTGTATCAGGAGAAATGTGATATTGATTTGTTCCCTTACTGGTGACGTTATCTTGATCATTTGGTTAAGGAGGTGTCTGCCAAGTTTCTATACTTTTAAAAATGACTCTTTTTCCCCTTTGTAAATAGCAGGGTTTTTTGTGGGGAGATATTTTGAGACACTGTAAATGCCTTGCTTCTCATCATATATTCACCCATTAGTTTTAGCATCCATTAATGAATCTTACTTGATCAGAACCTATTGAATTGAGGGGCGCCTGGGTGGCGCAGTCAGTTAAGCGTCTGACTTCAGCCAGGTCACGATCTCGCGGTCTGGGAGTTCGAGCGGTCCAGGAGTTCGAGCCCTGCGTCAGGCTCTGGGCTGATGGCTCGGAGCCTGGAGCCTGCTTCCGATTCTGTGTCTCCCTCTCTCTCTCTGCCCCTCTCCCGTTCATGCTCTGTCTCTCTCTGTCCCAAAAATAAAAAATAAATGTTGACAGAAAAAAAAAAAGAACCTATTGAATTTAATTCTTTAATATCTTTTTGTTGTTGATAATATAGTTCTTGTCATAGGTGGATAAGTGTCACAAAAGAATTAACGTAATGGCAGCATAATTCATAAAACATAACTTTTTCTTTCTGTAGTCTTTTATATTCATCTATGTCTGAATGCAGTCTTTAGGGAAGTAGCACAACACAAGATCTTGGAATAAAAAAATGTGATCAAAAGACGATCCTTTTTTTTTTTTTTTTTTCTCCTCCCAGTATCTTACATGTACTTCAGGATATGCTGGCCGTTGTAAGAACAAAGCCAAATATTTCATATAGCAAAATAAACAGGTGAAAAAGAGGTAAAAGTAATGGGCTGCATTAATTATGAAAAGAATTTGCAAGAGTAATTTAGAGTGTTTTCTTAAAATTGATTTCTTTTTTTTTTTGTCAAATCTGGAAGCCTTTTTTCATTCAAAAGAGGCAGTAGCAAATGTAAATGTTTGGTCTTCTTGATCCTGAGTTGCCTTTTTTATAGTCGATATATATTTTTTATGATTGTGTTTTATCTTTTATTCTATAGTGGATTAACTACTTTAAAAAATGTATTGTGCGAAGTTTCTTTATCTGTTTTATTTCATCTTCTACCTTAATCAGTGGAATGTGAAGACCCATTGCTTGTCTCTTTCTTGTTTATCTTTTGACAAATACTTGATGTTTAAACCTAGTGGAGTAACTTGAATCCCAATAACATTTTTGGATAGCATCTTTTCCAAAAGGACGAAGAGAAAATATAGTGGTAAATCTTGGAATTTGGTAGTTCTTGAAACATTCTAGTAGTTAGGGTTCATCATTCTCATTACAACTTTCTTTTAGGAAATTGCTTTCCATGATAAGTGTATATCCTCATATTGGTATGCATTCCTTAAAGTTTCAGGCTTTCTTCCTTATTTTGGTGTTTTTGAGGTGTGACCTACTTGACAATAAATATAAGATTGTAGCTTAGAAGTAATCTTTCCTTCCAGAGTCATTACAATACTGTGACTAATTCTAAGGTAGCTGGTTTTTGTTTGTTTGTTTGCTTGCTTTTTGGCAAGATTTCACTTTCTCAAACTGAAATTTTTAAATTGGGTGTTCTGGCAATATCTGGTTTCTTTTCTTACTGATTTTAAATCTGGAAAAGAAGATTAGAAAATCTATAACGGGTGTTAAAGTTTAGCTAAAATTTGTATCATCCTAGGATACGTTTGTTTTCTGCTGACCATATTGAAAAATTAATCCTAGAAGCTGATGACCCCCAAAGACGTACATGAAAGTAATACTTTTATTTTCCGTAGGATTAGAAAGTTGAACTTTTTAGTGTCTACTTTAGACATCAGCCACTTGACAAAATTTTTTTGTTTGTTTCTTGATCAGTAGACTTCATTTGTATAATATTTACTGAATTAACTGTGCCAAGCATTCTTCTAGGGTCTGGAGATAGACTCTCATGGTTTCTGTTAAGGATGTTCTTTTATTTTCTTAATGCCAGCTAGGACTGTTCTGGGCACTTGAAGGGGTTTGTGAGATGATGATGATGATTATTTTTTTTTAATAGACATGTCTTAGGACCAGTAAGAATGATTAGTGATTAAAAAAATAATATGTTACATCATGGGGCGCCTGGGTGGCGCAGTCGGTTAAGCGTCCGACTTCAGCCAGGTCACGATCTTGCGGTCCGTGAGTTCGAGCCCCGCGTTAGGCTCTGGGCTGATGGCTCAGAGCCTGGAGCCTGTTTCCGATTCTGTGTCTCCCTCTCTCTCTGACCCTCCCCCGTTCATGCTCTGTCTCTCCCTGTCCCAAAAATAAATAAACGTTGAAAAAAAAAATTAAAAAAAAAAAAAAGAATATGTTACATCATGCGTCCAGTTTAGTGTAGAACGTTTTGTTTTATAAATAATCTATAAACCTGTAAATTAGCAAGTTCAATTTCAGTCAGTTGTAATACAAAGGAATAGAAATAGTCTTTGTAGAAACACATTACCTTGCATTTCACTGCTTAAAAATGATTAGGCTTAGCCTTTTCTCTTTCCTTGGTATTAGAAATGCTTAAAACTAATAAGCAATATATGCTCATTTAGTAATTTAGTATTGAGAACAAGTATTGCAAATAGTCTAGTTTGCATATTTTGGGAGAATTTCTCAGTGGTGTTTATATACGAAATACTTAGGTTTATTGTTTCTGATTTGAATATACCTGGATTTTCAGTAAAAATCTTTAAAAATTTAAATACTTAGGGATAATGTTAAAATGATTTTATTGAAGTACTAGTGGATTGATAGACCTCCTAACATCCATTTGAGTTCCTTTGTGACATTTTAGCACAGGTGATTTTGTTAGCTTTGTTTTAGAATTTATTCTCTAGTGGTTGAAATACAGGTTCTCCAGTGGAGTGCTTATTGTTTTCATCTCTTTAAACATTACATAGAAGAATGCTGTTTATTAAAATAGAATTAGGTAAGGTCCTACTGTGTCATTCTTAAGAGCCTTTATCAATGGTAGTCTCGCAAAGGTTGTTCTTTCTTGTTTGAATAATGATCTCATTTTGTAAGTGCCTTTACATTTTTCTTTATAAGTGATACATGATCAAATCCACAATCATCATAAATAATTAACTTCTGAAGCAGGAGAGATATCAGCTCTCCTCAAGGATTCAAATAATTTCTATTTAGGGAAATCTGTATTCAGAGTATGAGTATGTTGAGTATGAGTATGTTGAATCCATAAGTTTTGTTACTTTAAGCAAAATCAAGAAGTTGTATCTTGAAAATAATCTCACTTGGGAGAAGTTTTTATGAGTGTATCTACTTCTCCAGCCCTATAACCTATCCTAAGGGCATTTGGTTTTTTAAATATGTTTGTATTTTTAATTTATAAATTCTGTGGGGGTGTGGTAAGTAAATCAGTGGTTTAGAGCTCCTATTGAAGGGGAAATTGTAAACTTAGCCCACTGTTAATCTGAGCAAGATATGATTTCCTGGGAGTTGTTTTTCATTTTCAAAGTTAAGTGAGCCTGTAACTTAAAAAAAAATTTAGCAGTTAGTATCTTTTGTTCCAAAATGGAATGCTCCCTTTTAACCTGTATTTTCAATCAGAAGTATTGTTACTATTGATTAGTATTCAAGAAATAAAGGAAAACTGGAAAATTTTGAAAATCATATTTTTTTATAGTTTCTGAATTTATTTTTTTAAACTATATCATAAAATAGTTAAAGTTTACTTAGATCTCATTAATTTGGAAATCTTTAATCTTATTAGTTTGTATTGAAATATTAGACATGAAAAAGAATGATTTGTTAAGGAAATTGACTGGAAAAGACTAGAGGGTGATTTTTTTCATAATGTAAAAAAGACTTTTGTAGCACCTGATTGCACAGTATACAGTAGTCTCTCCTTACCTATATGGGTTATGTGCTAAGACTCCCAGTGGATATCTGAAAACACATATCGTACCAAACTCTGTATATACTGTGTTTTTTCCTGTACCATAACATACCTATGATAAAGTTTAATTTGTAAATTAGACACAGAGATTAACAACAATAACCTAATAATGAATTAGGATAATTATAACAGTGTACCCTAATAAAAATTATGTGAATGTGGTCTGTCTCACTTTCAAAAGATCTTATTTTACTGTATTCACTCTTCTTTCTCTTGTGATGATGTGAGATGATAAAATGCTTAGAGATGAGATGAAGTGAAGTGAATGACCTATGCCTTGTGACGTAGCATTAGGCTGCTGTTGACCTCCTGACGACGTGTCAGAAAGAGGATAATCTACTTCCGGATCATGGTTCAACAGGGTAAATGGAAACTTGGAAAGCAAAACCTTGGGGTTTTGTAGGTACTGCTAGTGTGTGTGTGTGTGTGTGTGTGTGTGTGTGTGTCTGTCTGTCTGTCTGTCTGTCTGTCTGTCTCAGAGGGACTACAGTAGGTACAATGAATACATAAATGAGATGGCTCTGATGTATTAATTCTAAACCTTTCTCATCTGTTAAAAAGTCATACCTTAAGAACTCCAACTGTGGAATACCTTGTTAATCTTTTGGGGATTATAGTGGGGTTTTTTTTTTGTTTGTTTGTTTGTTTTGTTTTTGTTTTTGTTTTTGTTTTTTTGTTTTTTTTGTTTTTTTGGACTCCTGAAAATACCTAGAATGCCATTCTTGAGATATTTAGTATTCAGATCTTTTTCTAATTTGTACTTCCTTCCTATCATCGTCCCTCATATAGCTCCTCAATGTGATTATACTGTAAAATACTGTTGTAAGCTACTGGTCAAAAAGTATATAGTCTTTAAAAATAAAAGACCTGAGGATTTAAAATCTATTGGAAACTTAAAATAAGAAAATAGCTGCCACATAGGCTTGTAAAGTACTCTCGTACTTACTTATTTGCTACCTCTTGCTAGATGGAAGTTTCACCCCGTTGACTTCTACTAGATTTCTTTTTTCACTTCTTTACATTTTGGAAATCACAGATTTGATGGTTAAATCATAGATTTTCTTTTCTTAGTCCAAACTGTTTTCATTTCTCACTTGTACAGAATTGAATATATTCCTAAAGCAGAAGGGTTAGCTTGTTCTTTCTTCTTCAGGCTTTTAAAAAAATTGAGTCTAAATGTTGTTAGGTAATGGAATAACGATTTCTTTTCAGCTGTGTTGGTATATTTCCAAACTGGCTGGCAGAGCCAGGAGGAAGTGAAGGCATTAAAACACTAACTTTGGTTGGTTGCTACCTTCTTAGTGCTGAGACTATAACCTTTGTTGGTTGATTGATAGAGAACAAGAGAGCACAGTCCTCGTTCCACTAACAGGTAAGGAACCCTTGTGATAACCAGGTGGCATGAGAAAGAAAATTACTTGATTAGCAGTTTTTTTCTTAATTTATCCCCAAATATAACATGTCCATGAAATAGGATAGTGTGATTATGTTCAATACAACAGGAATGTGCAGCACCTTTCTAGTTAGAAGAAGATCTGAAATTTAATAGGGATATATCACTCTGTACCACAAAGTATAATTGATCTGTTTTCCACTGTTAAAATTTATCCTGCAGTCCCTATAACTTTAAATACATATCTGCCTATCTTATTCTC